CCCAATGTCACTGTGTCCCTGTGCCACCCAAAAATGTGCCAATCCCAATGTCACCGTGCCACCCAAAATGTGCCAGCCCCAATGTCACTGTGTCCTTGTGTCACCCCAAAATGTCCCTGTCCCTATGTCACTGTGCCACCCCAAAATGTGCCAGCCCCAATGTCCCCATGCCTTTGTGTTTCCCCAAATTGTGCCACCCCAAAATGTGCCAATCCCAATGTCACTATGTCCTTGTGCCACCTCAACATGTGCCAGCCCCAATGTCACTGTGTCACTGTGCCACCCCAAAATGTGCAATCCCAATGTCACCGTGCCACCCCAAAATGTGCCAGCCCCAATGTCCCCATGCCTTTGTGTTTCCCCAAACTGTGCCACCCCAAAATGTGCCAATCCCAATGTAACCATGTCACTGTGCCACCCCAAAATGTGCCAATCCCAATGTCACTATGTCCTTGTGCCACCCCAATATGTGCCACCCCAATGTCACCGTTCCCCTGTGCCACCCCAATGTCACCATGCCCTTGTGCCACCCCAACATGTGCCAGCCCCAGCCCCGAATCTCCCCTGCTGCTCTCAAGGGTGACAGATCAAAGTCATTCAATCTCAGCTGGCTCCAAAGCAATTATTTTTCCCTTTCTGCCCCAAAGCTGTGCTTGGTCTCCTGTCAGGATTTCCACCCTTTTTTCTGTCTCCTTCATTCCCATTAATTTATTTTTTTTCAGGATTTTAGATCTCTGAGCTTTTCTCCTTGCTTAAAAAGGGTAATTAAAAGGTCCAGACTGAAGGGTGAGTCAAAGAAATCACCAGAGTGATCAGGAGGAGAAGGCAGAAGGTTATCAAATATAAAAGTTGATTAGAAGTGTATTAGTTAATGAATGTTTCCCTTCCATACTTAAAAAAATGTAAATTTCAAGGCTTGTGCTTTGAAAGGAACAGGAGGCCTGAATTAAACCTACATTTTGACAGGAGCAAAATTATGGAAGAATACAAAAAGTCCAGCTTTTTATTCTATAAAAGCTGTTGAAAACAATTGATTCCTTCCTTCACTCCCAAAGACAATGGCCAGGACTGTGCAATTCCTGCTGCTCAGGCAATGCAGGGCCAATTACTCCAATTATTTCTCAATATTCCAGGGCTGCTTCTCAAGAGCTCAGCACTTGTTATTCAAATCGCTGCAAATACCAGAGCAGAGCATCACTTCCCTGAGAACACAGGGCACAGGAAGATTTTCAGTCCTAATGAGCTCCTTCCTCACTTCTTTTTTCCAGAGCAGAGGCTTGAAAGTCTTAAAAAAAGCTTTGAAATCTGAATTAAAGCCTTTAATTCAGCCCATGGCAGGGTTGGCTGTTGTGGCCAGGAGATGGAAATGCAGAATTTTTGTCTCTCAGCTGCCAGATCCAAATGACAGGACTTCTATCGTGACATAAATATCAGGTATTTCACATGGATCAAAAACCAGGATGGGAAAACATCACCCTGGATTTTCCATTCCTTTTTGTTTCGTTCCCTCCCTGACAGGAGCAGCAGGGAAGCTTTGAGGCATCACTAAACCAAAACCTTTTATTATTATTATTATTATTATTATTATTATTATTATTATTATTATTATTATTATTATTATTATTATTATTATTATTATTGTTATTAGAAAAACACCTGCTGTAACAAGAACTGATCATCAAATCATCAAAAAACCACCATAAAAATATTCCCCAGCGCTCATTCCACACCAAAAAAAAATGGAAAATAAACAGAGCTCAGGAATATTTGAACTGAAATTTTCCTCCCCAGCAAACTCCTCCTTCCAGAGGGGTGGAAAATTCTGGAAGGTGTTGGCTGGACACTGTGGAATGTGAGAGGGAGACCCTGACAGGCAGAACCCTGATTCTGAACCCCAAAAGGCTGAAAATTCCCCCCAAAAATTTCTTTCCCTGAAGGAATGTTCNTGGGAATTTGGGAGCAGAGCAGGGAATTTGGGGGCAGAGCAGGGAATTTGGAGCAGAGCAGGGAATTTGGGAGCAGAGCCAGGGAATTTGGGAGCAGAGCAGGGAATTTGGAGCAGAGCTGGGAATTTGGGGTCAGAGCAGGGAATTTGGGGGCAGAGCTGGGAATTTGGGGGCAGAGCTGGGAATTTGGGGTCAGAGCAGGGAATTTGGGGGCAGAACCAGAGAATTTGGGAGCAGAGCAGGGAATTTGGAGCAGAGCAGGGAATTTGGGGACAGAGCCAGGGAATTTGGAGCAGAGCTGGGAATTTGGGGGCAGAGCAGGGAATTTGGGGGCAGAGTTGGGAATTTGGAGCAGAGCTGGGAATTTGGGGGCAGAGCAGGGAATCTGAGAGCAGAGCAGGGAATTTGGGAGCAGAGCAGGGAACTTGGGGGCAGAACCAGAGAATTTGGGGGCAGAGCAGGGAATTTGGAGCAGAGCAGGGAATTTGGGGGCATAACCAGAGAATTTGGGGACAGAGCAGGGAATTTGGGGACAGAACCAGAGAATTTGGGGACAGAACCAGAAAATTTGGGGACAGAGCCAGGGAATTTGGGGGCAGAGCAGGGAATTTGGGGAATCTGGGGGCAGAGCAGGGAATTTGGGAGCAGAGCCAGGGAATTTGGGGAATTTGGGGACAGAGCCAGGGAATTTGGGGGCAGAGCTGGGAATTTGGGGGCAGAGTTGGGAATTTGGGGACAGAGCCAGGGAATTTGGGGTCAGAGCAGGGAATCTGAGGGCAGAGCAGGGAATTTGGGGGCAGAGCTGGAAATCTGGGGGCAGAGCAGGGAATTTGCAGCAGAGCAGGGAATTTGGGGGCAGAGCTGGGAATTTGGGGACAGAACCAGAGAATTTGGGGGCAGAACCAGGGAATTTGCAGCACAGCAGGGAATCTGGGAGCAGAGCAAGGAATTTGGGTTAAGAACCAGGGAATCTGGGGCTGCCCAAGGTGGTGAGCACCTGTCAAAGGTGATCTTGATGGGGTAGCCAGGCTGGGCCTCGATGACCCAGGCACAGCTCAGCGAGTCCTTGTAGAAGCCAGGCCAGCCTGGGGACAGGATGGTGCCACTGGGTGACGTCAGGTGGCCCCCACAGGGTGCTGGGGACACAAAAAGGACACAAATCCACACAATTACCCAGGCTGGAAAAGACCTTCAGGCTCATCCACCTCCAAACCACATCCCTGAGTGCCACCTCTTTAAAACTGGGGTGAAAAATGCCACAGAGCTGCAGCACCCTGAGATGTTCCCCACTTTTGAAAACCCTTCCCTGCATTTCTGCCCCCACCACGAGTTAAAAATCACCAGAGCCAGATGGAAAACCAACATTTACTGCTCAGAAATTGCAGTTTCAGCTCCAAGCGCAGACAGGGCCCCCCTGGGAGCCAGCAGGGCTGACCTTGGGCCCTGCTCGGGGTGTAAAATAATGATTGGATATAAAAGCAGAGGACACTGCAAGGTCACTTGGCATTTCAGGTGCCAGAAAAATCCCTCCCAGCCCTGCTAATTGAGTCATGGCTTTGCTGCCACCAGGGATGTCACCAGAGCAGGGCATTCATTCCACCCCGAGGTCCCCAGTGCCACCGGCAGGAGCTGCAGGCACTTCCTGGCATTTTCTGGGCAAAGGACACTCTGAGAGCCCAGAGGGACAAAAATCCCATAAACTGCCAGGTCTGTCCTCCAAGGAGTCACCCCAATGTCACTGTGCCCCTGTGCCACCCCAAAATGGGATCATTCCAACGTCACTGTGCCACCCCACAATGTGCCAATCCCCATGTCCTTGTGCCACCCCAAAATGTGCCAGCCCCAATGTCACCACGCCCTTGTGTTTCCCCAAAATGTGCCACCCCAAAATGTGCCAATCCCAATGCAACCATGTCACCATGACACCCCAAAATGTGCCAATCTCAATGTCACTGTGCCACCCCAAAATGTGCCAATTCCCATGTCCTTGTGCCACCCCAAAATGTGCCAGCCCCAATGTCACCGTGCCACCCCAAAATGTGCCAGCCCCAATGTCACTGTGTCCCTGTGCCACCCAAAAATGTGCCAATCCCAATGTCACCGTGCCACCCAAAATGTGCCAGCCCCAATGTCACTGTGTCC